CTTATATACTTTTTAGCACGTAGCTATTTATTATTAGCATTGTTTTTCCGACGTCTGATTTCTTTTTAATTATAGGAAATGCGTTTTTCTAAGGTACATAAACTTTTGGAATTGACTATATAGCCAATACATCCTTAAACTTCATTTTTCAAATTACCATCAAAAATGTCTTTCGCATAATAATCTGCAGTCTAATTATGATTTCACATATAACGTTCCACTTGAGCAAGGAACGCTGAGATACGCTGGTGCAGAAAGATTTAGAGGTTTTCACATGAATAGTTTGTTAAGCTTTTTTCCCCCTTGTTGTTCTGACGCAGGTGTGTGCACATCACGGACATAGGCGTGGGCTACATTTCTACAATGCCATCGTTGAGCGCATTGTTCTTGAGATGGTGCATAATGCTTAGAGACTTTGGACTTCAGCACTTGTGCGGCATGAAATCCTTACAAGTACTCTCGGTGGCAGGTAAGATCAACCTAAGGTCTGTCCTACATGATGCCTTACACGTCCAAATTAGAAGAACAGGCTTTGATACTTTCTCCAGCCCGATTGAAGTCAATGACTTTATAGTCGTTAAAAAAATAATAAAATCTAGATCCATATTTCTTTTATCTTCAAAAAATTGATGTCTTGCATGTTACATGCATTCTTTATAATTTGTGCACATTCCATTTTTCGATAAGTAGATAAAATCTGCAGTATAATAATTGTATTTCATCGATGTAATAATTTAAGTAAAAATGTTCGCAGGCTGTCCATTGCTCACAAGTAGCGGGCTCTCCAGCCTGATTCAGCTCCGTCATCTACACGAGCTGGAACTTACCAATTGTCCGGGTACCTCGCAGGAGTTATTCGACTATTTACGCGAACACCTGCCGCGTTGTCTGATCATCGAGTAGACGAGAGCACGGCAAAGGCTCGGGGAATCCGTTCGCGTTCCAGCCAGAATACGTTTCTATTCTTATAAGAGGAGACAGCATAAAACAAAATGTTTTACGTAAAGCAATACTTAGAATGAAGGAGACTGTGCGAGAGGCAATGGAAAATGCATGTAGAAAAGGAAGCAATTGACGTCCATACGCGAGTACTATCGCTACTATATTCTATCTTGTAATGCGACGAAGGATATTAAAACAGAAACACTAGCCCGTAACTAACGTGCAAGCGTTAACACTAAGATATAGCGCGTAGGCATTTTTAATACACCAGAGCTCCAAAATCGCACTCCTTTTTCGCCGATGTTAGACTTTTGATCGGACGATCCGATCCGTTGTGTTGTTTCGTTTTCACTTTTCTTTGTCGAAAGTGTTTAAACAAAAAGACAGAAAGAAATGTAACAAAAAAATATGTATGCGCCTCGACGACTCGGTATTTGATACTGAGTTTCACTGCTTGAAGATAGAAGGAAAAAAAGAAGAAACAGTTTAATAATAGTAGGTTCTCGCTAAATAAAGAAAGCTGAAAACATAGATAGGAGATAGCGATTGTCCGACGATTGGACGACACACGACAGACTCGACGACAGTTAGAACTGTGATAAATTTTTATTGTACGTACATACACGTGTGTGTACATACATTGTTCTACTATGTTTAGGGCGTTGTTCGAAAACCCGCTTCATCGTTTCAAACTCCAGGCGAGCGGCTATCAACGCGTTAGACGCGTTGCTTACGAAGGGTAATGAATCTAAATGTTGGAGAAAATTGAAATGATTACAAGGAAATAAAAAACATTCCGATTGCGTGTTGACGGAGGATTTTTATTTCACGAGGAAACACTCCCCGCGTTTTGATTTGTTCGACGACAAGTATTGCTGACTAAACGAACGAGAAAAATGAAGAAAATGAGAAAAAAAAAGGAGTTAACGATCATTGCACATCTATGTATTGTCTATAGGAGGACGAAGAAGAAAGTTTTTAACTTATATTTTACCTACGTATATTCTGCTGTCATGTAATTAATGTTTCCTACATTTAAGGCTTACACCTAGCTAAGTTCTCCATGTTTTTTCATTAAATGTAACCATATATCGCAATATAGAAGAAAACGTATTTTATGTGTTTAATACTGTTAAATATTTCGACGGGTTATCTATTAAGAAACGGAAGACATTATTGCCAGACAAATACCGTAATCCAATGTGTGTTTTTTCACACTGCGGCGTTGCAGCCAGGAGCAACGTTTTTTATGTTCAGACTTGTACAATTTAACTTCTATGTAACGTTTTAGCATTACCTCGACTTCTACCGAACTGAACTTTGTTTTCTGCGTGTTACCACCGTATTTAGCACATAACATCTTTGTATATATTGTACAAATATACGATTAATAATTCTGTTACCAATCAAAACTAAATATATACAAAATATATAAATATATCCGCACACGTCAAAATTCTAATCTGTGGTCGGGTCGTGTGCGCGACTCGAATCACGGATGTAACTTATAAGAGTGATATATAACATGATGGAATGTGCTGTGAAATAAAAATTTATTGATCCGAATTGTAGGTATTTACATTAGGTATTCTCCCACCAAGTAAGTAGCCCGAGGCCTGGTTCATCGATGGCACCCTGGCAAATACAAATTGATATAAGAATTTTAAATAAAGAGTATACTTTATGTTTTACGATACATACTCCTAAAGTGTAAGGGGATACGTTTTTAGCTTCTGACTTCTCAGCCTCCCCAGAAATGTTAGGCCCAGTGGGTAAAGCCTCTGTGAATGTTTCACTAACTACCCTGAATCGTATAATTTCCCCTAAAGTTTATCAATTTTATTATCCTTTAATGAAACAGTTTCAAGTTTCCAAAGTAATTTACCTGCATCCATGAACAAATCATGCTTCTCACCATCCCCTGTATCATATTCCCACACCCATGCTTGTTCCATCTGATCAAACCTCGATGGATGTTGCAATTTATGAGGTGGAATTACAATATCCTCGAAGAAACCCAAAGTTACTGCGAATAATGAAATTACAGGCCAAGTAGTAATAAATTGACTAATGTTAAAGTATGATAGAAATAATTACCGTGTACACCATCGACACTGCAGCTACGTATTTTTCCTATTAATATTTCTTCCATGAATGGACGGAACACGATAAAACGAAATATCACTTTAGTATGAGACGCACCATCACCAGGAAAAATATACGATTCCTCGATTTTTGTGATGTCGTGAAGAGCAATACAAAGACCAACATTAAGATACACCTTGAATTATTAAATAACTCATCATCAATTATGCTGTTCGAATACATGCAAAAAATATAAACCAGTATCACAATAGTGCACCTTATTCGCTAATTTTCTATTAAGTTCATCGGTGATTGCTTCGTTCAGTTTTCGTTTGAAGTCCCACGGCGGAATTCTGACAGTGTCTTTTAATTCGGCGAGCACAAACATTATGAAATAACAATAATATGCAGTGTTTTAAATCACTACGGCGGTATTTATTTATTTATGGTGACAGGTTTTAGAAAAAATTGTACGCAATCTCCACGCCGCGTGGATCAAGCAAGTTCTCGTGAGATTCTCGTTTCTCTCAACATAACCCTTGACGCACGTGCTTCATAGTTTTCGAGTAGAAAACAGGAAGAACATCATACGGATATATTAAAAAATCTGTGATATACTTAGGCAAGAATAACATCGCTGTTTACACAATCCCGGAAGTTATTGAAGAAAATCCAGAATTTTGCAGGATGGAAGTCATAAAATCAATTTTAGAAAATGATACACAGGAGGATTCACGTAAATCCACAGTTGTGAATAAGGATATTGAAACAGACCTAGGAACTCTCTTAGCGTTAGATTATAACAGCTTGGATTTAAAAGCAATGAAGTAATTAAAAACATTTTCAATGTCGATATAATATTTGACTTCGATATGAATTGTTAAGTCTCTATTTTGGTTTTGCAGATCGCAGTCTGAACAATATTTGAAAAGTTTAACAAGAGATAATGTACAGATACTAATCAACAAAATTTGGGACCTTCCCGCAGAACGTGTTGACGAAGTAATAGTGGCAAAGTTACCCAAACAGGTGTTTGTACTGCCACGAGCTCGTCAAATTCCAAAACCAAAAGCCTTGACAAAGTGGCAACAGTATGCCAAAGAGAAGGGTATCAAATCTAAGAAGAAGAGTAAATCTAAACTCCAATGGGACGAGGAGTTACAGGTAACTTTCTCTTTGCAGCAAGTATAATATTTCATATAAATTTGTATGTAATTCACATTGTCTTAGAAATGGATACCTACATTTGGCTACAAACGCAATAAAGCTATGGAACAGAAGGAATGGTTGGTAGAAGTTAACGATGATAAGAAAAGTATGGAGGACACATTTGCAGCTGCGAAAGTTGCAAAAGAAGAGAGGAAATCTAAGAACGAGCTGCAGAGATTGAGGAACATTGCAAAGGCCAAGAATATAAAACTTCCCAAAGTGGGACTTCCGACGAGAGAACATTTCCCAGATGCTCAGCAACTCTCACAAGCTGTAACGATTGCACGTACGTCAACTGCATCGCTTGGTAAATTTCAAGAACGGTTACCAAAAGAAAAAGATGCGAAGGGTATTGCGAAACAAGTCCCAGGCATGAAAAGGAAGGCTGAAGAAGTTCCACGAAATCTCCACGACGAAAAGAAACGGAATGCAAATCTGGCAGATAACATTCTGAAGGGTAAAACGAAAATACTTCGCGAAGACTTCTCTGTACCGAAGTAAGTTTCAGTTTTCTTTCGCATTTCGCAAGTACAATGTGAGTGTAACATAATGGAGAATGTTTATTTTGCAGGACAAAACCAGCTAAGGTGCAGAAGAAGAAAGGTAAGAAAGGACTTAAAAGTCAGGGGGCAAAGAAACCGAAAGCAGGCAAAGGGCAACGAGACATGAGGCTCAAAGCCGGAGGCCGAAAACGAAGATGAAATCGTTAAATATTCAAATTTATTCGTTCTATTTGTATCACTTAGACTGTATCGATTATAAGAAAATATAGTATCAAGTTGATTAATACTAAAAGATGCAGCGTTTGAAGTAACATCACTTGAACATTGAAAGACTTCCCAAGAATAGTTTTAATATTGACCTTTATTGTAAGTGCTTTAGACTCACATTCTACATGTACATCACGTAGGAAAGTAAAACTATTTATTCACAGTCTAATTATAAAAAGGCCATGTATAAAATCGAAAATACACGTTGGAATATTAAATAAATTATCTTGTCCCTAATCCCTCTATCAAATTAAAAGAGAAGAGGAAAACGAGAATCGTAAAGAATAAATAAAACCTGTAATGTAAAACTGATGGATTGGGGTGAAACGAACGGAGATCAGGGAACGGTTGGCTGAATAATCGCGAATAAAATGGAGTCGATAAAGCAGGCCGTGCCTTGGCCACAGGAATCAGAGTAACGCGAGAAAGGTGAAAGGTCAAAAGCAGTACGGGATATCGACTCGGGAAAGTTGCGAGGAGAGGGCGAGGTAACCTGGCCGCGGGTATAGGAGAGGGTAAGTGCGAAAGCGGGTTGCCCTAGAATCTGTAAGGGGTTCCACCCCGCATGTGATTTTATACCAATTGTATATGTGTATACGTTCAATGCCATCCGAACGAAATACAAACGCGTTCGGATACCTACCGCAACTTAAGACAAATCTTGCGAATAATAATCGCGTTTGGTATCAATCATTCGCACGACAGCCGACTACTGGCTAATGATTCTATATAGGTCATGATTTATAGTCGTGTTATCTTATTCTACTGAAAAAATGTGAATAACGTAACTCACGTAAATATAGTAGATGCCGTTGGAAGGACACAAGTTTGGGAGCAAGTGGGTGCGATGCACGTAACGTTTCATATCGAAAGTGCATTATCTAACTCACTGTGTCCTATTTGATCACGCCACTGTTAAATATCGGCACACAATAGTTCCCGAACTACGTCGAAAAATGACCCGACTACTTTTTGCGTAAGGATGGGACGCGGTGCAAAAAGTATACTGACTGAACTTATATGAACAATCGAGAATCGATACAGTTTGAAATAATGGCTTCGATAAATATCCCTATCGATTATCGTTTCTATTGATTTAATTTTCGATTTTTCTAACTTGATCGTTCGCTGAACAATCTGTGCATCCACCGAAAAATCGAACTGTATTGCATTAGCAACTATACGACGAACAATGATCATTATGGAAACAACTACCGGGCAAACTTTCTAGACAGAATAAATTATCGCCCGTTCTTTCTTCACGTATAGTACGTCATCGGGAAACTTTTTCCCTTATGACTATACGTCCAGATTCGTTACTTTTTAATAAGATTGAATTATTCGATGAATTCAATCTAACCGTAGGTATAAAAGAAATTGCCACATCTCTCAAAAATTGTGTGTAGCTCCTGAAATTCGTTTATCGCGTTTGAAAATTGTACGCAGTATTTTGCGTAACATCTTGTTGACAGAACCGAAACTGGACGCCCGAAAGTCTCAAGCGAGTCTAGATATGTGCGTTATTCGAAGAGGCGATTGAACGAAAGGCGTGCATAATCGAGCGACGTAGCGCGCGTGCGACGAGGGTCGTGGGGGATGAGGACGAGGGTTGCCGAGGTGGTCAGGTCGCGGTGCTCAGTCGGTGGTTGTTGCTCGGAACGAAGGGGCGCGTATCCCACTTCGTGTGCGGGATAGTCAAAACGATGGAGGCTGCGTTAATTGCGACTAGCCAGTGAAAATAACGCACCGTGCATGTACTACGTGTACCGTGTCCTGGATTCGTGGCCGGCGTATCCTTTACGCGCGCGCCTCCCGCCCTCTCCCCCCTGTGGCTGTGCCCGTGCTTCTGTGTGCGCGCGTATCCCTCTTGCGCACAGTGGTCGTCGTCGTTCATCGCGTATCGAAACGGAGGATAAAACGAGGGAGAATAAAGAGGGATTAGAAACGAGTGCGATCAGGACGAGAGGAAAGGCAGTACGAGCGGGGGAAAATGTCGTCCACATAGTTCGAATCGAGGCGGACGGAGATAGAGAGCGATAGAGATAGAGAGAGAGAGAGAGAGCGAGAGAGAGGCAGGTCGAACACGGTGCAGTGGTTTACCCTGAGTTGTTGGTACGCGCAGCCTTTTGGTGTTGCTGGCTGACTTTGATGCCTGCTTTGCTATTGCTGTTGCTGCCGCCGCCGTCGAATCGCCGCCGACGTTGCTGCAGCAGTTGCTAGCGATGCGAAATGAACGATTTGATAAAAGAAATATATATATAAAGATAATGTGTGCTGAGAGGGAGAGAGAGAAAGAGAGGGAGAGAAAGAAACAAATGTGTAGCCTTCATTGTTCCGCCGTCGTCGTCGTTTTTTCGTCGTCGTTTTTTATTGTATTTTGTCGTTCTTTGTTCAATGCGCGAATCCAAGAAAAAAGAAAAAGAGGGAAAATAATAAATGTGACCTGCCCGTCGGCCACCAGCCAGCCTTATATTTTTTTTACGCGCTTCATGTGCTCTTTCTTTTTAGGAAGTACTCAAAGATTAGGACGATCCGCCGTCAAATGATCATCGAACGGGTCTCCTTCGGCCCTTCGACTTTTATTTATGCGGTTTACTTGTCTTCGTCTACCCTTGCTTTTCTTTTTTTTGCACGTTTTGTGCACGCATATTCATTGCATGTCTGTGCACGTTTATTCCCTGGTCCCCTGACTGCTTGCTTCTTTGCAAAGAGCCATCCTCTTTTTTCGTCTAATCCGATGACCTTATTTTTGCATCGAGTCGGAATCGTTTTTAGCATTGCGACAATGTACATTGCAATTAGCGTTCCGCGCTGAGAATCGCAGTCTGCCGTGCACATCCGATTTGTTTACGTTTTCCACCCACGTATGCATCCGTTATACCGCATAAGAACCGGGACTACGTATGTATATGCAACAATAAAAGAAAAATGGTCGAGGAGGGTTGAAAATGAGTACAAAGAATCGAGAAAGATGGAAGGCGAGAGAAGTTCGAAAGGGGATAAAGATAGATAGCGGAAGGGCACTGGAAACGAACGTGACGAAGTGCGGGAGGGAAAGAGAGAGGGAGAGATAGAAAGGAGGCAAATGTCAGGGTGGGTCAAAGGAAGGGGTAACTAGAACGTGTCACGAGAAAAAAAAAACAATGAGGAAGAAGAGGGTTTTTCGATTTGTTACATTTGTGTCGGGACCTCTTGACCCATTGACGGGTCAAGGAGCGGAACGGAAAGATGTCAATGCGGAGGCCTCCTTCTAGTGTTCAATTCGAAAACTTTGAGAACTTAGAGGTAAAGATGAAGAGCCACTTAGGTAAAAACGTGTACAAAAGATACTTTGGCACATACGTGTACGATACCTGTACAGGAAATTAGTTTCTCTTCTGTAAAATACTTTCGCTCAAAGATTACTTATTCTCCTTTCGTAATATTAGATAGTTTTGTTTATGTAGAGAACATATCGATCCGTGTATCTATCCGTACATCGCATGTTTCTAGTAATCGTATACTGACGATAAACATCAGATACTAAAAATGCATATCGCCTTGTACTGAATATTTCTATTCTTCAAATGTACTTCACTTCTCGATTCAAAAGTAATCGTAGACAGATTAAGCAAACGAGTCGTTCATATACATATTGCCTACCTGTTCCCAGTATGCATAATGTAAATAATCGCTGTAAATATGAACGCTTTCCACGTGCTTCTCCGATTAGAACTACGTAGTAGTTAGAACATAGAAATGACGGCCGCCAATAGCGGGCGGATGTCCGTCATGTTTCTTGCCTTTACAGAAGGGAAAAAGCAGGAAGACGATGCGAAGGGGACTGATCTCGTAACAGGAAGAAACGCCTGGCCCGAAGGCGTTAAACGGGAAGGGAAGAGAGTACACATTTAATCATCCTGCGAAGCGATGTACGCGGCTGCGGGTGGAGCGAGTATCGCGAACCGAAGGAAGCAGAAACGCTTGCAGCTGAACAAACGCGTCGCCGAGGGTACGATCCCGCCGCGGCTGAAGGCGACCGTTCCGGTTGCTCAGCACCACTTCCACCACCAGCAGCACCATCAACACCTCCACCACCACCACCACCCCAGCAAGTTTGCTCGTCCGCACGTAGTCCCACCATCCTCCACATCGCAGCTACCACCACCGTCATCCGCGTTCCATTCGAGCATCGACCGACGGCGTCATGTCGAGAAGTCGCATCAGCAGGTCGCACCTGTATCTCCGATCCATTTCCCGATCTCACCGCCGCCGTTGTCCCTCGAGTCACCCAGCTCGGTCACCTGCGCCACCAAATCCAATAACTTCCCATTCCCACCATCCTCGATCCTCGATCTCCGAGTCTCGCCATCTTCTTCAGAGCTACAGGTGGGTAGATCCGTCTTAGAAATATACAGAGATTCTCTTTTGTACCAATCGCTCTACTAGGATATCCATTCTCTCGGGCTCTGTTTCTCTTCTTTCTCTATCACACTATATAGTTGCTCTTGCTCTAGGTACCCTTATTATTATTATATCACGTATCTTTATACTACGCAATCTCCTTGTTAAAGTATCTTATTATACATTTAATGAATCCTCGTTGCACTCTGCACCGTCTTCTTTGCTAGAGCACACCTTTACTTGTTACACTACATTAGGGAATACACCATCGATTGGCTGTCTGGTGGCGTATGTAAACCCGCGATAACACACGCATCCTCTACGAGCGAGCTCCAGGTTCGTCAGCTGGTTATCCGTAAATTGTAAATCCTTTATTTTAGTAATTAAACATGTCTCTACTGGTTACTGCCAGCGGACACAAGTACCGTCTAATCCCATGGAGGCAGACAGTGCAATGTTGGGAGTAAGTTGTAGTGTCTGGTACCAATTGAGAGACCTTTGAGGAGAAACTCGTGTGGCTGTTTCTTCTTTTTCTTTTTTTTGGTTTCGATTTGGTCAGAGGTGGGATAAGGAAGAGTTTAAGTTGTACGGTGTGTAAGAAAGTGGAAAAGAGATAAATGGTGGAGGAAAAAACAGGAGCACGATCCAAATCTTCACAATCAATAAAACAGGGCAAATGAATGAGCGGCATGCAGGCTGCTTTATTGATTAGAAGAGAAAAGCAACGGTTACGGGGGGGTAAGGCGGTGAACTTTAGAGACTTACCCTCCAACTTGGCCACCAGACTTATTCCACCGCTTCCACGATATCCCCCACGATCGTACGTTTACGGGGTAAGTATCAAACTTACTGCGATTACGCTGTATCGTCATCAGTAAGCTGTAAGCTATTGGCATCAGAGGGTAAACTGCCGCTTCCCTAGCTGACTTATCTGTGCATTAACTTTCTGTGTTATCCGTTTAATAAGAGAAAACGAAAACCAAACGAATTCGTAAATCGTAGTGATGTGTATCTGCCCCATTTTTTACTTTATCTTGTTATAGAACAGATGAATGTTCCCCGATATTGTTGTGCATCAATTTTGCCGTTTGCTGAATAAATGTGGTTGCGATATGAAAACTTCTAGGAAGTACATGTATATTATACAGGATATCAAATTCTTTGTATCCACACACGATTAATCTTAATGCCAGTTATCAATTAAATGTTAGGGTAGCAAATGATTGTGTGATTTCCTATCTTAATAGAATTTTACATATTGAGATACGTATTAATAGTCTGCGGACTAACGTCTAATGGTGCAAAAAATTGTAACTATTACAATGTGCACTACACGATACTCCACACAAAAAGGCGACTAATTGTGCTTAATTAATACTTTGTTGTCTCGATTAGAATGCAATGATTACAGTGTACTTGTGTAGACGAGTTCTACGATACATGTACGTATGAAACGTTTATACACATCTCGATTGGTTCTATTTATACAAATTTTTCTATGTTCTCTATTATATATATATATTATATACTTAGTACATGCATGCATGATTTTTTATCTTATTATTTATGTGCTGCGTAACGAGGAGAAAAATGAATAAATTTCTATTTGATGAAATAGTAATGAACGATAGATGAACATGATAGAGAAAGATGTAAATTACATAATCATAATTATTATCCCCTTTACGTTTCGTATTTATTTATATTTCGTACGATAGTACAAATATTTATAATAGATCAAGAGAAACGTTGAAAAAGTATTTAATAAATTAGATCACTAGTCCGAATTCGATAGACGTTGATGATTTTGAGTAGTTGTCACGGGTGAGTTCGAGATTGTGATATTTGAACGGAGAATGATTTCAGTGTGGCGGGGGTCCCGGCAAAGCAGCATGGCAAGGATGCAGCAAACGCTCACCCCTCCCTCTGTCTCCTATGTCACCTCACGCATGCCGTGGGGATGGATACAAGACGAAGCAATGCGAGGCTCATCGACGATGGATGAAAAGGAACAGGGTAAATCATCATTTTGTTTAACTTATTTACATCATACACCGCCATACTTTAAATAATAATTATCGTAATGCTTATCACAATATTTGATACAATAACACACGATTCAATTGATAAATTACTTGCTGAGTCGATTAAAATGCGTTTTCTCCGCATCATTTTATATGTTTGAAACAAAATTTTGGTACCCCAGAAACGGATCCCGTTTTCAGATAAGAGACGCAAGCTACTGCTACGGAAGCAGCGGGGAAGATGACGATGAAGATGGAAGCAGCAACCGTCATCGAGGAGAAGTTAGCGCGGCAGTGAATACCGTACTTTACGCGGGGTTGGGAACCACAGCGCTCGGATTAGTTATATCGTTTGTCGGCACTGGAGAGAAAGGATTCCTCAGTCCGGAATTGAGGCTGGTGGGTCCTTCGCTACTGTGCGCCGGTTTACTGTGTTGCCTATTTCGGGTGCTGCTCTGCCTCTGTCTATGTCGTTGCGGTGAGTGCCGCTGGCGGTTTTGCCACATTGCTTCTGACAAGAAGAAGGAAAAAGTGAGGAAAGCGGAGGCTCGGCCAGCCGCTGGAGTATTGCCTACGGCCTCACTATTGCCACCAGCGCAACAGCAACAACACCACCATCATCATCAACAGTCGTCTTCGAGTGGGGCTGCATCATCATCGACGAAAGCACACGAGCTGTTGCTCTCTCCTGCCCAATTACCAGAGTGAAAACACCATTACGAACGTTTTCTACGAGGATCTTACACGCCGATTAACTGCCGGTTCATGTCCAACATAGAATATCTTTACCTCCATTCGACCTGAACCGTTTTCGCAAACAAGAAAAAAACAATAACAATCACAGCCTAACTCTAGTTCAAAATGCGAAATCTAGCGCTTAAAAAAAGATTAGTTCACTAAACAATCGGCTATGTTTTTCTACCCCTACCGTGTTTGAAAAAGTAAATAAGAAAACAGAAGAATGTAATTATTATCAATGAGCCTTTGAACTATCTCCTGGTTTATTTCCTCTCATATCTTTTTTACACAATAATTACTTGAACTTTACTTTTCTTACATAGCCCTTAATGGATACCCATGTTAATCTAATCTTACAATACCAGACCAGCTTTCAAACCGATCTCAACAGTCTTTTATAAAGAAAACGCGATAGAAAGACACACGAAATATTCGGTTTTTCGGTGAATCGGGTCGCGCGATCAATTATTTTATATCAAAGTCATTCGTAGATGCGGCGATCAGGAAAGTTGGAACTGCATCTGATCGTTAGACGTGTAACTATATATAACGGGTGTATCGGAAGTTGTAGCACTGGTTGTCGCGATAGCGAACAACTGGTCTTCATAAATTGTCCCTTGTGGCTCGACTTTCCCGTTACCCGTTGCAGGATTAGTTCCCGGCGGATTGTCCCCTTTAGTGGCCTCCCGATACTTTTGTAGATATACTTTTAACGGTTCCACGTAATTGTCAAAACCAAGGGTGGTCATCGCAAATAGAATGTCTTCACCATTAATAGTCTTCCGTTTTTCCATGTGACACCGGTCGCTCGCTTCCGACGTGATGAACGATATGAATTCTGACACACATTCCTGAACGCATTCACGGGCATCCTTAGCTATCTTCCCTGACTCCGGTATCGCTCGCTTCATGATCTTAGCGACATTCGCTATAGGAAGGAATCGGTCCTGTTCGCGCAGAGGACCACTGCCAGCACCTCCGGCTCCTTGCAATGGATCGCTCGCTCCGTGATTCGAATCGTCTGTATTCTCAGGGTCGTCTTAACAAAAAGACAATCCCAATCATTATTTCGAATTTAACGGACCGTCATCAATTTCGAAGGTTAAGGTATTCATAATATTGACAGTTTATTTGGCGGTAAAAGTACAGTTAGAGAGAACAATAAGGGATGAGTATAGTTTTATTGGGAAGCATAAGTGTCTAGACGATTTGATATAAAATCATCGAGTACAATTTACAAAAACATCATTAACCTACCCTCCATATCATCGGACTGCACGCTAATGTATGACGCAGAAACACCACCTCCTCCGAGGAACGCAGACGGACCTAATGGTCCCCCATCGTCACCACTTTCACCACTATTTTCCATTTCTAGTTCGGCACTGAGAACACTATACTCTAATGTCTTTCAAGGTACACTTCGTTTTCGCGATACTTTTATTGCATTTTCCGACGTAAACGTAAGCTGCCCTGCAGATCCCGTTACATTTTATCCGGTCTGCGGCTCTGTGGTTTGTGTTATACATACATAGTTTGAATTCTAACCACTACAAATGTAGCCGACAACGGTCCAGCGCGAATTCACATCAAATGTTAAATCTGGATTACAGTTCGCTTGTGCTTGCAGGCTTGCTATTCACTTCGTAATTTATGACCTCAGCTTTTTGATAGAAAATAGTTCTTCACATGAGAGTCACTCAGTTTATTCATTTTTGTTTTGAGAACGTGCCGTTTCAATGTAAAGGAATAAATATGTGATGATATGTGATATAACGTACTATTCGGGCAGATTTATAAACGATTAAAGTGCAATTCACAAAAGCGTGCCGTATAAACGAAACCGCCGAGTAGAATAATAATAATCGCAGTTTCATCGTGTGCGCATAAATGCGCAACAAGTAGTTTATTTAAGATTATTATTGATATGGCTATGTCTAGTATTTTATTAATGCGAAAAGGTCTCTCAGTGAACGGTAAGCCTGTTTTCTTTATTTGTAATATATGTATGCCAATCACGATTCATATGCACACATGATTTTGTATCCTGACATTTGTCGTTACGTTTCCCGAGCGGATTATTCAATTTATTAAGAAAATATTACGCGTATTGCGATATGATTGCATTTGTTTACGTAATATTCGTATTTCACCATTTCTGTCATAAACAGATATAAATAATATGTTTGTCGTGTAATACCTTCTGCATAAGCAAAACGCAATATTTAATGTTATTCTAATTATGTGATCTACTTTATTTTGTTCATATTCCTCGACGACCGTATTATGGGTTCACATTTTTATTGATCTGTGATTAATTTACGATAATAGTGATATTACAAACATAAAGAGAAGGGTTTTTTTGAACACCGTCATTTGTAAGGTTATAGAAAAAAATAATCATTGTAATATACATGTGGTAAGTTATATTATCATGTAAAAATGTCGGTACCACAGAAAGATATGTCAGAAGAATTTATTCGTCAATTAAACAACCACTTGGAAGAAAACAAGCTTGATGAGGCCCTGAAACTTTTTAAAGAAAGCAATTATTCTAACATTATCGCACATCACTCATGGGATATTGTTCCTCTTGTGTCATCTCTGCTTACTACAGAGAATATGAAATCTAATAAAGATTTAATTAACTGCTGTACCGAGATATTAAACTCTGTAGTTGAAAGATGTAATCCTCTTGAGGTAGTACTGGAGCTGTTAGAACAGATAGAAGGTCCAGAAGATGATATAAAGTTTTGTACAATTTTCAATGTACTTAGAAGATGTCTTGCCAGAATGGATGACAAAACCAAAGTTATTGAATGGTGTACTAGTACAATAAGATCTTACGTAGAGAGTCTACCATCACCAGAAAAAGAATCTGAGAGTAATACTGCTAATATAAACAAAACTAAAAGAGTTTATGAAGCAGTTATATTATTTTTAGAACCATTAGTACAAGAGTCAAGATCAGAAGATGTTGTATTAAGAGATTACCTTGTTAGCACTTTAATTTTCTTAATGGATAACTTGTGTCATCTCCAGGAAAAAGAATTGGGCTCACAGTGCATACCTGAGAGAATTGTAACTCTTACAAGTCAAACGACTGGAGATTTGCTTTGGTATTTAAACATCGTAAATATAAGAAGCGTAAAAACCAAGATCAAGAAAAAGAATACAAGACAAGAGAATACGAATTTGAAAGTAACATTGTTTGAATCGACTGAAAATATATCGGATTTGGCCTATGCGAACTTCTACTTTTATATTATAACAAAGCCGCATTTGTGGGAGAAAGTACCACAGGTGTACAATCCTAATTACATATTCCAAGTATGCTCATATCTTGTTATCAAATTGCTGGAACAAGATATTGTCTCGAAAGGTTTGAACCTGATGAACGAGATTTTGAAGAGAATCGCGAGACACTCCTTGACGTCGAATTTATTAGAACTGAACATATATTTCGATCTGTTCGACGTACTCGTGAAGGTGATGATTTACTCCGACAGCAATAAGGAACGGAAGTTCGCCCTGAATGCGTTTCAAGACTATGTAAAAATGTTCGATATACAAGCGAGATATCTTATAGTCTTGCGTTTATATCAGACTAGCGAACACTCGGGTCTACTGAGTTTGACGACCGGAATTTTCAAAGACTGTATCATCGAATGCATCCAAGCGACTCCTCCTATTCCTTATTTCCTCGGTAGCAATCTCGAAACTCTGATCAAGCTTGCTTGCAAATTACATCACGGTAGTGCGTCGGATTTAGTCGAAATATCCGACGAAGTGATCGCGAGCTTGAACTTGTTAAGATTTCTGTTTATAAGAGATAAAGATAATCAAACTGGTATTTGGAACTTGGTGGACCAGCTCGAGAAAGATTATTTGAAACCATTGAGAGAAGGAATAGATCTGTGCAGAGCACATTGGAAGGTGAAGATGCAGGATTTGGAAGGGCAGAAGAAAACGCACAAAGTAACAGAGAGTATAGGGCTGGAGGCAAGCGATGCCGAGGTGACTTTAACTGTTGGAGGTGAAATGCTGCCTTCGATGCCTATCCAAGAAAAGATTTCGTTCTGCCATCAGGCTGTCAACGGTCTGGATGTGATGGAAAGCATTTGGATCAGGGTTCATGAATGTATCGCTAATAATCCCTTTAAGGAAACATAGTTGTTACATGGCTCAACTTCGGAATAAAAATTATACACTTATTAAATGTATGTTACTCGTTGTTAAATAAATCATTCTTCATCTACATTCCATCTGATACAATTTTTTTACACTATCATGTATTCATTGTTTCATATTATTCCTCGAAGTAAAGAAAATTTCTTTAATAGGTTTTAGAAGTTTATGGACCTGTAGAGCGTTGCTCAAAGATCAGGCCGAAAATGTTAGTGCACAACAGTCGAGTCAAGACCATGGTAAGGATAGCGATGAGGAATACGAGAAGAATATTAAATCGAAAATTCTTGACGCATCGCTGAATTACGTTCATGATCTAGGATGGAGCCAGAAAGCCATCAGTGCTGGTAATTCGTAATAATTTTTTAATTAAATAGACTTGCAATGACTTACGAATCAATTAGTGTGGCTTGAAATAACAACATTGCATTATCGATGTATCATACAAACGATAAATAAGAATATTTAATGCAAAGTTATGTACCAAAGGTGCCGAGTCGATTGGATATCCGGGAGTGATACACGGATTGTTCCCTAATCGGGGTGCAGATTTGGTACAGTATTTCTATTTAACGTGTAACAAAGAATTGAATAAAATCCTTAAAGAAGAAAGCCTCGCTAATGAAGAGAGTCCTAATAAAGTGAAAAAGGCATTGGAATTTCAAGTGCGTGATGCTGTTGAGACGAGGCTTAGAATGGTGATACCGTTCAAGAAAACTTGGCCGCAAGCTTTAGCTCTCATGGCTCTGCCGCCTAACGTACCAATGTCGTTAGCTAATTTGCTCACCTTAGTTGACGACATTTGCTATTACGCTGGCGATAGATCAGTCGATGTAAGAACGATGAAGATATATTTCGTACGATCCTAGTATTCAAATGTTGCTATTTTACACTATGACCATTCTTAATCAGATCAATTGGTACACTAGAAGAGTGGTATTAGCGGGTATCTATAAGACGACGGAGCTGTACATGTTACAAGATAATAGTGAGGATCATAATCGAACGTGGAACTTTTTGGAAAGACGGATAAAGGATGCGACGCAGATTCATGCGATTTTAGTGGCGACTTCCGATATGCCTACGCCGGATCAAGCATTGATTCGTGCTAACGAAGCGGCCGGCGCCGCCTTCGTTACAGTAAGTGCTTTAAATCTGTAGTATCATTTCACTGCAATAACAGAATTATATATGTTTGTCTTCGTTAGGCACGCAATATACTTGGAATTAACTGGCATAGGTAGAAGAAAGATAGTAAATTATAGACTGTTTAATATAAAGAAAAAGACCATGAAGTATTTTTTCGACTTCATTTATTGCAAATGAAGAATAATGTACTTGGAGTTTATTTATCTGGTAATATTTAATGAGAAAGAACAATAACATTAAGATGAATTAACAACGATGGCTAATTTATTTCAGTACCATATTTTAACAAATTCTGTACAAGTTGCGGTTGAATCTAACGTGACTTACTTCGGTGCGAGATATAAAGGTTAAAACAGTAGTCTTTTATTTTTATACAAGATTATCTTGTGCCTCCATTAAACGAGGAGAATTACCTTATCATATTGAGCAGGAGATGATTATAAAAAATATATTTACACAGCCAAGTAACTCACGAATTGATTAAACTTCGAATTAGATTCAAAACTATAACGTACATATTTTAAGACGCAAAGAACTATCTTTGACGATCTTCCTTATCAATAAAATCTTTTTTCTTTAATGAATTGTATTGACGATGAGTAATTTCATTTTTATAAAATAAAGCTCTATCTTATCTTTCATGACTCAGAAATTCTGAATAAGTTACTGCTATACAATGTAAACGATCTATTACTTTGAAACCCATATTATTAATATCATAAAACTCTTCGCATCACTACAAATATTTTAACGACTTTTAATATCTATTAATAATAAGCTTCTTCGATGTAACCCTTGATTGTTTTTGGTAAAGGCAGTTTATGTATATTGTCTAGTCTAGTATTTTGACGTATAACGAAACGACAAAGATATTGCAAACTTCGAACCTGGGTAAACCTGCTCACCGGCTTCGTCAGTCTAACTGGGAAAGATGGATAACCGGGATATCTAGGTTGCGCATAGCAAAATACTGCCGTTTGACTAAAATTTATAGAGTAGTCAATTAAATCAGCCACGGAACTAAATGCTTCACCATCACTTTGGTTGCATAAAGAAAACAGACCACCGCTGTGTTCCATGCGGGTATGGAGAAGTTTACCAGATGATTTAAAACTTAGAGTTAGGACATATCTATAAAAAATTAGTATTAGAACTCGTTCAATTGTTATGAGTAGCATGAATAACGAACCTGTCATCTGAAGAGTCCCTGACTAAAAATGCACCATCTGGTTCAGATATAAGTTTGGCATCAGCTTCAGTGCCTGATATTGGACCCCAGTACCATCCATAGTTACTTAACTTAAGTAATTCTTTCGTAAGGCTAGCTTTTACTTTGTTCTCATTACTCGTATTAGCGTCTGTATTCTCTTCAAATCTTTCAATTTGAGATTCTGTTGCATTATCTTCTACTGTTCTTTCTGATTGTTGCCTCTTATCATTGGAACATGATTGACTTAGGTCAGAAACATTGTCAAAATTAATTTTAATATCATTATCAGTAATCTGTGCGTCAACTACTTCTAATTTATTTTCTATATCAGAATAACTTTGTGCAGTTTCATTTTGGTTCTCCGATATTTCAGTGGCAGTCAAAGTTTCGTTACTACTTTGGACACTTGTATTCCTGGCAGGATCCTCATTTCTTAAGTCAGATACATTGTTCTCTTCCAAAGAGGCCGTAAGTCCGTTGTTTTGAGATGTCAGCAGGTCAGAGTTCGCATCGTTTTGCAAGCTAGGTGTTTCAACCTCCCTCTGCAAGAAATTATTGTTGCACAGAAAACATCATCGACATTTGCATATACTTACCCTCTGCTGGGATTTACGCTTTCTTATCCTCACGTGTTTCTTGATGTTCTTGAAGAAGTCGGACATTCTATTCGAGAATGCATCCCTCGTTTTTCTCTTGACGATTGTCACTTCTACCAGGTCTTCTTTCTTTTCACGTTGTGAATCACGCCACCAGAACAAATTCAATGCATTCGCGTTCAGTTTACGCGATTTCGTGTCTTGGTTCGACGTTCTCGTCGCGCTTGTTGCCGCGGACGTGATCACCTCCTCCGACGTTTGACTTATCATACTCGAATGTTCTGCGACCCTTTAAACTGGATCCAAATCGTAAAAAGGGTTCGCTTCCGCTATCTTATCAAAAATTATTCCACACTCCATGTATTCCCCGGCTTTCCTTTTGTCTCACGATCACAGCGATTACGTCAATATTATCTTTCCTATTGTTCAAAAGTCGACGAACTTGGTTGTATCCCCCTAGTCTCAGCTCGTTGTTTCTCTCAACTGTTCTCAAGTTCTCACGTTCACTGAACGCGACGAATGTTTTGTGTATAGCCAGAGAGAAGAAATGAGATGATTACTCACGATCGAAAAATCGTGATTCCCGTACAAGTGCTGCACCAAGAGGGCAACTCACAAAAGAGTTTTATGAGTATCAGAGCTAAATACATACCTGTACATACATATGCGTACATGCATATGTGCCTTGCCAGCGCCAGCCACCCACGCCACGTCTATAAACCACCATAAACCACGCCAAGCCAAAGCCGATAATGAGAAACAAGAAAATTCTGCTAAACGTTTACGTACTTTTAAAATATTTTCCTTAATTTGAATTAATGCAACACATCATTCACTTGGTGTACAGATACGGCTTGTACGAATCGAAGGAAGCAGAATTCCTTGTGAATCAAAGTGGAAATATTATTCTGTTGTTGCATGTGTGTTGTCTAACCTAAAATGCATCGTTCCTGACAGTTCTACGGATTACCTTATTCTGTTTACCGTTAAATGTTTAAAAATTAAGAGAAAATGGTCGATTCGGATGACGAGAATTATGTCACATTCGGAGTTCCTCTGGATCCGATAGACGAAGGTATATAAAAATATTTTAACAGGTATAGATATCAAATAACATTTTTTTAATTTATCTTCTTTATATTTATTTTTCAGATAATGTACCAAAAAAGAAGCCAATGACCATTGAAGATCAATGTGCATATGATGCACAAGGTAGACGTAGATTTCATGGTGCCTTTACTGGTGGTTTTTCTGCTGGGTACTTCAATACTGTTGGCACCAGAGATGGTTGGAGACCACAGCAGTTCAAGTCTTCCAGAAGTAGCAAAGCAGAGAATATTTCCCAACATCCAGAAGATTTTATGGATGAGGAGGACACAAGTGAATTTGGTATTGCACCTAAAGGTATTCGTGCTACTGAAGATTACGTAGATCGGGGCCAAAGAGGAACAAAACGTAATAGAGTCACACGTGACAACACTGGCCCCATACCTGGTGTTCCAGTATTAAAAGAGCTTTTAACACCTGTGAGAGAAACAGTCGGTATCATGTTACTAAAGAAAATGGGATGGAGACCAGGCCAGGGTGTAGGATCGAGACTTACTAAGAAGGAGAAGGCTAAGATAAAAAGAAGAAACGATAGAACAAAACTCATGCAGAAAAGGTCTAGAAAAGCAAGTACGGAAAGTAGTTCTGAAGATTCGGAAGATGATTATGGGAATTTAACGTTCGCCCCCGACGACTACGAGCCCTTTAGATGCAACCCAAAGGATAATTACTTTGGTATAGGATATACAGGCTTAGATAGAAGAACTATATTATCTGGGCACGTAAATTTATTCGACACTCCTGCGTTTAGCGTGCAGGATAAAAATAAGAAGTTATCTATACATGGACAAGCTTTCGGAGTTGGCGCGTTCGAAGCCGACGACGATGACATTTATGAAAGAGACGACATGTCGCGTTACGATTTTTCCCTGGGTCCGGAACGCAAAACGAAAACAAGATGGTCCAACAGTGGTAGTTCCAAAAATTCGACCGATTGCTTGGAGGGTTTTGCAAGAGCAAAACATCAGCTGGAACGAAAGAAAGTTTTCTCACCACCAGAATTGCCAAAGAATTTCGTACCGGTACATGCGGTTAGAAAGAGTCGATTTTATCCTCCGATTGAGAATGTACCTCATGCGACCGAGAATGGAAAACGCAAAGATCTCACAGCTGCGGATAGAGCCAGGATATTGGAGGATACGCCTACCATCAAGAAACCCTCGGAGAATCACCCTAATTCAGTGCCGTCGGTCGCGTCTAATATAATCACGAAAACTCTGAACCTACATGGAAGGCAGCAAACGGAGGAGAGACAAAGAGAAGAAAATCTGCGAGCTAAAGCTGCTGTATCGTGGATGGACAAACTAAATGTGCAGAGTTTCGTTAAAGGTGGTATTGAAGGATCCAGCAAGGATTCCGATGGAAGCTTAAAGAAATTAGAAGAATTTATGGATTCTTCTTCGGTAAAAACGGTCACGGATAAGAGCATATCGGAAGAAGAAAATTCTATGAAGAAGACCACTGCGAAATCATTTTTCTCTGATCCTGATAAGCAACGACGATTCGAGCAATACTTAGTTTTCGTTAAGGACGGGGAGAAGAACAAACTCGAAAGCATCCAACCATTATCTATGACGGAATGGGACAGGGAACACGAAAGGACTGAATTCGAGCAGGCAGCGAGGTTGTTCGAGCATCCGTCGAACGATTACGTTGCGAATAAGTTCACGCACGCTTCTGAATCCACGAGTTTGGATGTTTCCGCGAAGCAAAGTCAGGAGGACGAGATGAAACAAGCTGTGAGGATGAAAATGTTCGGGAAATTAACGCGGGAATGCATAGAATGGAAGCCAGCAAGTATCGTTTGTAAGAGGTTTAACATCCCCGAACCGAAAGGTGGTTGTGCTCAGCCTGAGAAGAAATCGGCGAAATTTTCCATCTTTGATTCTCTTGAGTTGAGTAATTCCACAAAATTCTCGAGGGCGACTGATACGGAATCGAGACAGATAAACGAGCCCAGACTATTAAAAGAGAAAAGCGATGACATAAGTTTGGACGTGAATAAAGATGTGTCTTTCAGCAATCAAACTTTCGAACCTGTATCAGAAAAAATGAAGAATTTCGGAGCTTCTTACGAAAAAGTGTTTGGCAAAGAAGTTCAGGAAACAGCTTCACGTGTATTCGATAATAAACGAGAATCGGAAGATAAGTCAAACACTGATACAATAACTGAAAGTATGGATAACCAGGACCAAGGAACTAGCAGTCAGACGAAGAAAACGGTATCGAAGAGTCAATCAGAAGAGAAGAAGGATCTCTTCAAAGCGATCTTTTTAAGCAGCAGCGAGGAGTCCGACTCAGAACCGGAGGAAACCATTGACAGCGAGGTTGTGAAGTCTGTTTTGATCGGTAAAGTTCCAGCCGAGGTGAATGTAAATAGAAATACGTCTCCGCCCCGGGGGATCTTCGCTAAGGTTGATCTGGATAGTCTACTCGCCGGGCCAAAAAGCAACATCGAAACGAATGAAGAATCGAACAAGGAAAAAGATGTAAACACAAAGAATTCAGATTCAGCGGTTGAAACCAAACTAAGTAGCGATCAGGCAGACATTGAGGAAGTTCAGATGTTGCCTGACATGTATGGGCCAGTTTTACCTTCGAGATTGTTAAAAACAGAAAATACAACAGGGGAAACATCCAGTTCAGAACCAATGAAGCCTGTGTTTAGGAGTGTCGTGGTACCAAAGCCCAAGACAGACTCGAAGGTCCTCGGAGTGTGGGTGGAACGGAAAAAGGAAAAGAAGTCGAAGAAAGAGAAGAAGAAGCACAAGCACAAGGAACACAAGAGCTCTAAGCACAAGAGGAAATCGAAAAAAGGGAAACGTGGCTCGTGACACGGTGAACTGTAGTTGAAAGAATTAAACGAAGAGAATGGAGGTATCGTATGTATCGATTATTTATTATACGTTCATTAAACCGAATCGTAATTAAGATCATCGCGATGATGCGTTCGATATGTACAAGGATATATATTTTTTTTTGTATATGCTCTCAATCCTGTGATTGAGAAAATTCTCTTCGATCGCGGTATCGTTTCTTGTCGTTGTACAGAATGTAACGCTATAGTTTAGAGTTCATTTGTTCGACGTCGTGGAGTTTCTCGATGGTGGCCTACTATGGTTCGCGGTGCTAACTTTTTTTTCTACGCTGCAATTAAAAAAGAAGTAGATTCGTATTATCATGATTTGTGCCTTTAAATTAATTTCAAAATTAGAAAATTCTTTATTGATTAATAATTTTCTCAATGCTTAACATGTAAGAGATTTTTTTTAAACGGAATCATACCTGCTGCTTCTTGAACTTCTTTTGAACATGTCCGTCAACTTCTTTTTCAAATTTTTCTTTTCAGTCCTGTCGTTGATACTCGTTTCAGAGCCCGATGTCTGTTTCAGAGTAGATTAATAAATAATTGTTTAAAAATGTTAAAACAGATTAATTGTTTAATTACCTGAAGGGAAAAATCCGTGGAAACATTTGGGTCATCTACGCTAGCCGACTTGGTCAATTTCGACGTAATCTTTTTCATGATACCTTTGCTATGTTTCTTTTCTCGCTCCAACACTTCGCTCTTCGTAGAACCAGTCGAAAGGCGACTATCAAGTATCACCGTTTTAGTAACTATTCTGTATGTTTGATATTAAGTTTAAAGTGAAAAGTTAATTAATTACCTATCGACACTGGAATCTCTCTGTAAACTCATGGTTCGTCCTTCGGCGTCTGAACTTTCTAATGATTGCATACTGGACATGTTACTGTCTGTGCCCCAAATATGTGACTGTAAAGTTAAATAAATAAATAACAAAATTTAGTTGAATATTTCTTATGAAAAATTATCGACATACTTCTTCATTTCGTCCCGACGTTTGCTCCAAAGATAAACTCTTCCTTTTCAAACGTGGTTTCGTACGAGACATCGTTATTCCTTTTCCTGGATCACTTTCCACGGATGTCGACCTGTCACATTAAATTATTTATGTAAAGATGAATGATATATAATCCTTAAATGACGAATACCTTTTGCCAAGTTTTTTCAATCGCATCGCGTTCATTTCGTCGGCTGTCTTCTTCGATTCCTTCAGCTCTTTCGCCACATCCATCAACTTTTTAATCGTGTACTCCAGTTTCTCTGTTCTTTCAGCAAGTTGAGAATTCGAGCCTGTTAACGTGTATCAATTTTAGACTAATTGATCAATGACTTAATGAGACAGTGTCATACCTCGAAGATCACCTTTGTCCAGCATTGGCGACGATTCTCTCGATTTTGGTCCCTGTAAAACAATAATTTATTATACTCTTACTTTTATTGAACCAATTTATAAATTCACCTTCAATCGTCTGGGTGGTGTCGGTGTGTAAGCATTCGCGCTTCCGTTTTCTGCAATCCCGTTCAATTCGGGGAAGAGTTTGGTCAAGTCGTTCACTTGCTGCATCAACACGTTAACATTCCTAAGTTCGACCTGTTCTTGTTTGCACTTCTTCAGTATCACATCCTTGAGCTCTTCTCTTTCCTTCTCGTGCCTCTCCTTCTCACGTCTCATCTTCTCGTTACTGGTTCTCAGTTTCGCGTGAGCGTCTCTCAGTTCAAGCAAATCGCATTGCAACTGTAGCAACAAATATTTTTAACAGGCGAAAGTCCAACGTGTTGAGTCATTTCATTTACCTCCAACAATTTCTTCTTACTCTCCTCCTTTTCTTCGTCGTTCACTTTCTTCAACTGGTCTTGCCGCCTCTTATTTTCTAAACGTTCCTTGGAACGTTCTCTTTCAATCTATAAAAATCATTATTTAGTTTTTCATTCGTAAAAAGTTTTTAAAAATACGTACTTCAAATAGAGTTTGCCTCAAGTCTCTAGCCAGGGTGGCTGTTTCTTGTAATAGCCTCTGGTGTTCCTCCCTTTCCTTTTGCCACGCCAACTCCATGCGGACTTTTAATCCTGGAATCTTAGTTCTACCGCTAGTAAGCACTTTCTCCTCTTCAAGCTATAAGAATAAAAATATATTAATCTATGTTATAAATTCAAAAACAGCTGTAAAGATCACCTCGTTGATTCGCGATTGCAATTCAGATATCTTAACGTGACTCGCTGACTTTTCTGATACCAATTCGGCTTTCAATCTGGACGTCTCTAATCTTGTCTCCGATAGTTCATCTTCTAAGCTATTGATTTGCCTTTCCAAAACCACTACACTGACGCCAGACACTTCTTCCTCCTAAATAAAAACATACAAGTAGTAATAAAATTTTTTTTTTGAATTGATTAAATTTTGAATGAAAGATAACAAACCTCGTCAGATTTTCCAGACGATGCGCTCGATTGCTTTCCCCTAGCAGATTTCAATTCTGCAATAGTTTTTTGGGCACCCTCCAACATATGTTTATACGTATCACGTTCCCGTTTGTATCTGGACAATTGATTCTGAATAGCTTGGATCTCGTCGTTGATGGCATTGATCCTGTGCTCGTAACGCATCTTGCATTGAGCCAGTTCGGTCTTCTTCGATTTCTCCATGTTCTCCAACGCTGTTTTCAATTTTCGCATCTCTGCTTCTAAGGCTGTCGTGTCTGGCGTCAGAGCTTGATGGATCTTCGACACAGCCTCGTAGTCTTTCAGTTTGTCAGAGAGATCGTCGTTCTGTGAGATATTTCCAAGTGAAAATAATTTAATCACATTTAGTTCATTAAGGATGTATTGGCTATACAGTCAATCCCAAAAGTTTATATACCTTAGAAAAACGCATTTTCCATAATTAAAAAGAAATCAGACGTCGGAAG